GGAGACTGGGGCTGGGTGATGGAAAGCGGGATAATGGGGCGGGGTGTTTGAAAGAAGGGAATGGGGCTGGGTGAAGGGAAAGAGGGAGAAATGGGGGAGGGGTGACATGAAAGCGGGAGAATAGGGCGGGGGTGATTGGAAAGCTGGAGAACGGGGCGGGGGTAATGGAATGAGGGAGAACAGGGCGGGGTGATGGAAAGATAGAGAATGGGTGGGGTGATGGATGGAAACCGGGGAGACTGGGGCGGGGCCATGGAAAGAGGGAGGATGGGACTGGGCGATGGAAAGCGAGAGAACGGGGGCAGGGGTGATGGAAAGAGGGCGAATGGTGCGGGGTGATGGAAAGAGGGCAGAATGGGGCGGGGGGGTGATGGAAAGAGGGAGAATGGGGCCGGGGTGGATGGAACGCGGGGAGAATGGGGCGGGGTGAGGGAAAGAGGGAGAATGGGGGGGGGGGGGGGCGATGAAAGAGGGAGAATGGGGCGGGGTGATGGAAAGCAGGATGGAATGGGAGGTATGAAGGGCGGAAGGGCGGGTGATGGGAAAGAGGGGGAATGGGGCGGGGTGATGGAAAGCGGGGTGAACGGGGAGGGGTAATGGAAAGAGGGAGAACGGGGCGGGGTGATGGAAAGCAGGAGAATGGGGCTGGGTCATGGAAAGAGGGAGAATGTAGCGGGGGTGATGGAAACCGGGAGAATGGGGCGGGGCGATGGAAAGCATGAGAATGGGGCGGGGTGATGGAAAGAGGGAGAATGGGGCGGTGTGATGGAAAGAGGGAGAACGGGGCAGGGGTAATGGAAAGAGGGAGAATGGGGCAGGGTGATGGAAAGAGAGAGAATGGGGCGGGTGATGGATAGAGGGAGAATGGGGCGGGGTGATGGAAAGTAGGAGAATGGGGCGGGGTGATTGATAGAGGGAGAATGGGGCGGGGTGATGGGAAGAGGGAGAATGGGGCAGGGTGATGGAAAGCGGGGAGAATGGAGCGGGGTGATGGAAAGAGGGAGAATGGGGCGGGGCGATGGAAAGCGGGAGAATGGGGCGGGGCGATGGAAAGCAGGAGAATGGGGCGGGGTGATGGAAAGCGGGGAGAATGGGGCTGGGTGATGGAAAGAGGGAGAATGGGGCGGGGTGATGGAAAGAGGGAGAATGGGGCTGGTTGATGGGAAGAGGGAGAATGGGGCTGGGTGATGGAAAGAGGGAGACTGGGGCTGGGTGATGGAAAGCGGGATAATGGGGGCGGGGTGTTTGAAAGAAGGGAATGGGGCTGGGTGAAGGAAAGAGGGAGAATGGGGCGGGGTGATGGAAAGCGGGAGAATGGGGCGGGGTGATGGAAAGCTGGAGAACGGGGCGGGGTAATGGAATGAGGGAGAACAGGGCGGGGTGATGGAAAGATAGAGAATGGGGTGGGGTGATGGAAACCGGGAGAATGGGGCGGGGCAATGGAAAGAGGGAGGATGGGACGGGGCGATGGAAAGCGAGAGAACGGGGCAGGGTGATGGAAAGAGGGAGAATGGGGCGGGGTGATGGAAAGCGGGAGAATGGGGCGGGGTGATGGAAAGAGGGAGAATGGGGCGGGGTGATGGAAAGCGGGAGAATGGGGCGGGGTGATGGAAAGAGGGAGAATGGGGGGGGGGGGGGCGATGGAAGAGGGAGAATGGGGCGGGGTGATGGAAAGCAGGAGAATGGGGCGAGGTGATGGAAAGAGGGGGAATGGGGCGGGGTGATGGAAAGATGGAGAATGGGGCGGGGTGATGGAAAGAGGGAGAATGGGGCGGGGTGATGGTAAGACGGAGAATGGGGCTGGGTGATGGAAAGAGGGAGAATGGGGCGGGGCGATGGAAAGAGGGAGAATGGGGCGGGGTGATAGAAAGCAGGAGAATGGGGCGGGGTGATGGAAAGAGGGAGAATGGGGGGGGGGGGGGGGGCGATGGAAAGAGGGAGAATGGGGCGGGGTGATATAAAGCGGGGAGAATGGGGCGAGGTGATGGAAAGAGGGAGAATGGGGCGGGGGTGATGGAAAGAGGGAGAATGGGGCGGAGTGATGGAAAGAGGGAGAATGGGGCGGGATGATGGAAAGATAGAGAATGGGGCGGGGCGATGGAAAGCGGGAGAATGGGGGCGGGGCGATGGAAAGAGGGAGAATGAGGCGGGATGATGGAAGCGGGAGAATGGGGCGGGGTGATGGAAAGAGGGAGAATGGGGCGGGGCGATGGGAAGAGGCAGAATGGGGCGGGGTGATGGAAAGAGGGAGAATGGGGCGGGGTGATGGAAAGCGGGAGATTGGGGCGGGGCGAAGGAAAGCGGGAGATTGGGGCGGGGCGAAGGAAAGCGGGAGAATGGGGCAGGGCGATGGAAAGCGGGAGAATGGGGCGGGGTGATGGAAAGCGGGAGAATGGGGCGGGGTGATGGAAAGCGGGAGAATGGGACGGGGTGATTGAAGCGGGGAGAATAGGGCGGGGTGATGGAAAGCGGGAGAATGGGGCGGGGTGATGGAAAGCGGGAGAATGGGGCGGGGAGATGGAAAGCGGGAGAATGGGGCGGGGCGATGGAAAGAGGGAGAATGGGCGGGGCGATGGAAACAGGGAGAATGAGGCGGGGTGATGGAAAGCGGGAGAATTGGGCGGGGTGATCGAAAGCGGGAGAATGGGGCGGGGTGATGGAAAGAGGGAGAATGGGCAGGGTGATGGAAAGCGGGAGAATGGGGCGGGGTGATGGAAAGAGGGAGAATGGGGCGGGGCGATGGAAAGAGGGAGAATGGGGCGGGGTGATGGAAAGCGGAAGATTGGGGCGGGGCGATGGAAAGCGGGAGAATGGGGCGGGGTGATGGAAAGCGGGAGAATGGGGCGGGGTGATGGAAAGAGGGAGAATGGGGCGGGGCGATGGAAAGCGGGAGAATGGGGCGGGGCGATGGAAAGCGGGAGAATGGGGCGGGGTGATGGAAAGCGGGAGAGTGGTGATGGAAAGAGGGAGAATGGGGCGGGGTGATGGAAAGAGGGAGAATGGGGCGGGGTGATGGAAAGAGGGAGAATGGGGCGGGGTGATGGAAAGAGGGAGAATGGGGCGGGGCGATGGAAAGAGGGAGAATGGGGTTGGGTGATGGAAAGAGGGAGTATGGGGCGGGGCGATGGAAAGAGGGAGAATGGGAGAGGCCGATGGAAAGAGGGAGAATGGGGCGGGGTGATGGAAAGAGGGAGAATGGGGCGGGGTGATGGAAAGAGGGAGAATGGGGCGGGGTGATGGAAAGAGGGAGAATGGGGCTGGGTGATGGAAAGAGGGAGAATGGGGCTGGGTGATGGAAAGAGGGAGAATGGGGCGGGGCGATGGAAAGCGGGAGAATGGGGCGGGGCGATGGAAAGAGGGAGAATGAGGCGGGTTGATGGAAAGCGGGAGAATGGGGCGGGGTGATGGATAGAGGGAGAATGGGGCGGGGCGATGGGAAGAGGCAGAGTGGGGCGGGGTGATGGAAAGAGGGAGAATGGGGCGGGGTGATGGAAAGCGGGAGATTGGGGCGGGGCGGTGGAAAGCGGGAGAATGGGGCAGGGCGATGGAAAGTGGGAGTATGGGTCGGGGTGATGGAAAGCGGGAGAATGGGGCGGGGTGATGGAAAGCGGGAGAATGGGGTGGGGTGATTGAAAGTGGGAGAATGGGGCGGGATGATGGAAAGCGGGAGAATGGGGCGGGGTGATGGAAAGCGGGAGAATGGGGCGGGGAGATGGAAAGCAGGAGAACGGGGCGGGGTGATGGAAAGAGGGAGAATGGGGCGGGGGTGATGGAAAGAGGGAGAACGGGGCAGGGTAATGAAAAGAGGGAGAATGGGGCTGGGTGATGGAAAGAGGGAAAATGGGGTGGGGTGATGGATAGAGGGAGAATGGGGCGGGGTGATGGAAAGAGGGAGAATGGGGGTGGGTGATGGAAAGATGGAGAAGACGGGGCGATGGAAAGCGGGAGAATGGGGCGGGGCGATGGAAAGCGGGAGAATGGGGCGGGGTGATGGAAAGCGGGAGAATGGGGCTGGGTGATGGAAAGAGGGAGAATGGGGCGGGGTGATGGAAAGTGGGAGAATGGGGCTGGGTGATGGAAATCGGGATAATGGGGCGGGGTGTTTGAAAGAAGGAGAATGGGGTTGGGTGATGGAAAGAGGGAGAATGGGGAGGGGTGATGGAAAGCGGGAGAATGGGGCGGGGCGATGGAAAGAGGGAGAATGAGGCGGGGTGATGGAAAGCGGGAGAATGGGGCGGGGTGATGGAAAGAGGGAGAATGGGGCGGGTTGATGGAAAGAGGTAGAATGGGGCGAGGCGATGGGAAGAGGCAGAATGGGGCGGGGCGATGGAAAGAGGGAGAATGGGGCGGGGTGATGGAAAGTGGAAGATTGGGGCGGGGCGATGGAAAGCGGGAGAATGGGGCGGGGTGATGGAAAGCGGGAGAATGGGGCGGGGTGATGGAAAGAGGGAGAATGGGGCGGGGCGATGGAAAGCGGGAGAATGGGGCGGGGCGATGGAAAGCGGGAGAATGGGGCGGGGTGATGGAAAGCGGGAGAGTGGTGATGGAAAGAGGGAGAATGGGGCGGGGTGATGGAAAGAGGGAGAATGGGGCGGGGTGATGGAAAGAGGGAGAATGGGGCGGGGTGATGGAAAGAGGGAGAATGGGGCGGGGCGATGGAAAGAGGGAGAATGGGGTTGGGTGATGGAAAGAGGGAGTATGGGGCGGGGCGATGGAAAGAGGGAGAATGGGAGAGGCCGATGGAAAGAGGGAGAATGGGGCGGGGTGATGGAAAGAGGGAGAATGGGGCGGGGTGATGGAAAGAGGGAGAATGGGGCGGGGTGATGGAAAGAGGGAGAATGGGGCTGGGTGATGGAAAGAGGGAGAATGGGGCTGGGTGATGGAAAGAGGGAGAATGGGGCGGGGCGATGGAAAGCGGGAGAATGGGGCGGGGCGATGGAAAGAGGGAGAATGAGGCGGGTTGATGGAAAGCGGGAGAATGGGGCGGGGTGATGGATAGAGGGAGAATGGGGCGGGGCGATGGGAAGAGGCAGAGTGGGGCGGGGTGATGGAAAGAGGGAGAATGGGGCGGGGTGATGGAAAGCGGGAGATTGGGGCGGGGCGGTGGAAAGCGGGAGAATGGGGCAGGGCGATGGAAAGTGGGAGTATGGGTCGGGGTGATGGAAAGCGGGAGAATGGGGCGGGGTGATGGAAAGCGGGAGAATGGGGTGGGGTGATTGAAAGTGGGAGAATGGGGCGGGATGATGGAAAGCGGGAGAATGGGGCGGGGTGATGGAAAGCGGGAGAATGGGGCGGGGAGATGGAAAGCAGGAGAACGGGGCGGGGTGATGGAAAGAGGGAGAATGGGGCGGGGTGATGGAAAGAGGGAGAACGGGGCAGGGTAATGAAAAGAGGGAGAATGGGGCTGGGTGATGGAAAGAGGGAAAATGGGGTGGGGTGATGGATAGAGGGAGAATGGGGCGGGGGTGATGGAAAGAGGGAGAATGGGGGTGGGTGATGGAAAGATGGAGAAGACGGGGCGATGGAAAGCGGGAGAATGGGGCGGGGCGATGGAAAGCGGGAGAATGGGGCGGGGTGATGGAAAGCGGGAGAATGGGGCTGGGTGATGGAAAGAGGGAGAATGGGGCGGGGTGATGGAAAGTGGGAGAATGGGGCTGGGTGATGGAAATCGGGATAATGGGGCGGGGTGTTTGAAAGAAGGAGAATGGGGTTGGGTGATGGAAAGAGGGAGAATGGGGAGGGGTGATGGAAAGCGGGAGAATGGGGCGGGGTGATGGAAAGCGGGAGAACGGGGCGGGGTAATGGAAAGAGGGAGAACGGGGCGGGGTGATGGAAAGATAGAGAATGGGGCGGGGTGATGGAAAGCGGGAGAATGGGGCGGGGCAATGGAAAGAGGGAGAATGGGACGGGGCGATGGAAAGCGAGAGAACGGGGCGGGGTGATGGAAAGAGGGAGAATGGGGCGGGGTGATGGAAAGAGGGAGAATGGGGCGGGGTGATGGAAAGAGGGCGAATGGGGCGGGGTGATGGATAGAGGGAGAATGGGGCGGGGTGATGGAAAGCGGGAGAATGGGGCGGGGTGATGGAAAGCGGGAGAATGGGGCGAGGTGATGGAAAGAGGGAGAATGGGGCGGGGTGATGCAAAGAGGGAGGATGGGGCGGGGTGATGGAAAGAGGGAGAATGGGGCGGGGTGATGGAAAGAGGGAGAATGGGGCTGGGTGATGGAAAGAGGGAGAATGGGGCGGGGTGATGGAAAGAGGGAGAATGGGGCGGGGTGATGGAAAGCAGGAGAATGGGGCGGGGTGATGGAAAGAGGGAGGGAGAATGGGGGGGGGGGGTGATGGAAAGAGGGAGAATGGGGCGGGGTGATGGAAAGCGGGAGAATGGGGCGAGGTGATGGAAAGAGGGAGAATGGGGCGGGGTGATGGAAAGAGGGAGAATGGGGCGGGGTGATGGAAAGAGGGAGAATGGGGCGGGGTGATGGAAAGAGGGAGAATGGGGCAGGGTGATGGAAAGAGGGAGAATGGGGCTGGGTGATGGAAAGAGGGAGAATGGGGCAGGGTGATGGAAAGAGGGAGAACGGGGCAGGGTAATGGAAAGCGGGAGAATGGGGCGGGGTGATGGAAAGCGGGAGATTGGGGCGGGGCGATGGAAAGCGGGAGAATGGAGCGGGGCAATGGAAAGCGGGAGAATGGGGCAGGGTGATGGAAAGCGGGAGAATGGGGTGGGGTGATTGAAAGTGGGAGAATGGGGAGGGGTGATGGAAAGCGGGAGAATGGGGCAGGGTGATGGAAAGCGGGAGAATGGGGCGGGGAGATGGAAAGCAGGAGAATGGGGCGGGGTGATGGAAAGAGGGAGAATGGGGCGGGGTGATTGAATGAGGGAGAACGGGGCAGGGTAATGGAAAGAGGGAGAATGGGGTTGGGTGATGGAAAGAGGGAGAATGGGGTGGGGTGATGGATAGAGGGAGAATGGGGCGGGGTGATGGAAATTGGGAGAATGGGGCGGGGTGATTGAAAGAGGGAGAATGGGGCGGGGTGATGGAAAGAGGGAGAATGGGGCGGGGTGATGGAAAGCGGGAGAATGGGGCGGGGCGATGGAAAGCGGGAGAATGGGGCGGGGTCATGGAAAGCGGGAGAATGGGGTTGGGTGATGGAAAGAGGGAGAATGGGGCGGGGTGATGGAAAGAGGGAGAATGGGGCGGGGTGATGGAAAAAGGGAGAATGGGGCGGGGTGATGGAAAGAGGGAGAATGGGCTTGGGTGATGGAAAGAGGGAGAATGGGGCGGGGCGATGGAAGGGAGAATGGGGCGGGGTGATGGAAAGCGGGAGATTGGGGCGGGGTGATGGAAAGAGGGAGAATGGGGGGGGCGATGGAAAGAGGGAGAATGGGGCGGGGTGATGGAAAGCGGGAGAATGGGGCGGGGTGATGGAAAGAGGGAGCATGGGGCGGGGTGATGGAAAGAGGGAGAATGGGGCGGGGTGATGGAAAGAGGGAGAATGGGGCTGGGTGATGGAAAGAGGGAGAATGGGGCTGGGTGATGGAAAGAGGGAGAATGGGGCGGGGCGATGGAAAGCGGGAGAATGGGGCGGGGCGATGGAAAGAGGGAGAATGAGGCGGGGTGATGGAAAGCGGGAGAATGGGGCGGGGTGATGGATAGAGGGAGAATGGGGCGGGGCGATGGGAAGAGACAGAGTGGGGCGAGGTGATGGAAAGAGGGAGAATGGGGCGGGGTGATGGAAAGCGGGAGATTGGGGCGGGGCAATGGAAAGAGGGAGAATGGGACGGGGCGATGGAAAGCGACAGAACGGGGCGGGGTGATGGAAAGAGGAAGAATGGGGCGGGGTGATGGAAAGAGGGAGAATGGGGCGGGGTGATGGAAAGAGGGAGAATGGGGCGGGGTGATGGAAAGCGGGAGAATGGGGCGAGGTGATGGAAAGAGGGAGAATGGGGCGGGGTGATGGAAAGAGGGAGAATGGGGCGGGGCGATGGAAAGAGGGAGAATGGGGCGGGTGATGGAAAGAGGGAGAATGGGGCGGGGTGATGGAAAGAGGGAGAATGGGGCGGGGCGATGGAAAGAGGGAGAATGGAGCGGGGTGATGGAAAGCAGGAGAATGGGGCGGGGTAATGGAAAGAGGGAGAATGGGGGGGGGCGCGATGGAAAGAGGGAGAATGGGGCGGGGTGATGGAAAGCGGGAGAATGGGGCGGGGTGATGGAAAGAGGGAGAATGGGGCGGGGTGATGGAAAGAGGGAGAATGGGGCGGGGTGATGGAAAGAGGGAGAATGGGGCGGGGTGATGGAAAGAGGGAGAATGGGGCTGGGTGATGGAAAGAGGGAGAATGGGGCTGGGTGATGGAAAGAGGGAGAATGGGGCAGGGTGATGGAAAGAGGGAGAACGGGGCAGGGTAATGGAAAGCGGGAGAATGGGGCGGGGTGATTGAAAGTGGGAGAATGGGGCGGGGTGATGGAAAGCGGGAGAATGGGGCGGGGTGATGGAAAGCGGGAGAATGGGGCGGGGAGATGGAAAGCAGGAGAATGGGACGGGGTGATGGAAAGAGGGAGAATGGGGCAGGGTGATGGAAAGAGGGAGAACGGGGCAGGGTAATGGAAAGAGGGAGAATAGGGCTGGGTGGTGGAAAGAGGGAGAATGGGGTGGGGTGATGGATAGAGGGAGAATGGGGCGGGGTGATGGAAATTGGGAGAATGGGACGGGGTGATTGAAAGAGGGAGAATGGGGCGGGGTGATGGAAAGCGGGAGAATGGGGCTAGGTGATGGAAAGAGGGAGAATGGGGCGGGGCGATGGAAAGTGGGAGACTGGGCCGCACCTCTATCTCTGTGTCGTATTGAGCCCCACGCACCTCTCCATCTCAGTGCCCTGCCTCACGTGACTTGTGAGTCGACTCAAAGCGCACCTCCATCTCTGTGTTTTATTGAGCCCCACGCACCTCTCCATCTCAGTGCCCTTGTCGCTCTACCTCACGTGACTTGTGAGTCAACTCAAAGCGCACCTCCATCTCTGTGCTGTATTGAGCCACACGCACCTCTCCATCTCAGTGCCCTTGTCGCTCTGCCTCACGTGACTTGTGAGTCGACTCAAAGCGCACCTCCATCTCTGTGCTGTATTGAGCCCCACGCACCTCTCCATCGCAGTGCCCTTGTCACTCTGCCTCCCGTGACTTGTGAGTCGACTCATGGCGCACCTCGATCTCGGTGCTGTATTGAGCCCCACGCACCTCTCCATCTCAGTGCCCTTGTCGCTCTGCCTCCCGTGACTTGTGAGTCGACTCAAAGCGCGCCTCCATCTCTGTGTGGTATTGAGCCCCGCGCACCTCTCCATCTCAGTGCCCTTGTCGCTCTGCCTCACGTGACTTGTGAGTCGACTCAAAGCGCGCCTCCATCTCTGTGTCGTATTGAGCCCCACGCACCTCTCCATCTCAGTGCCCTTGTCGCTCTGCCTCACGTGACCTGTGAGTCGACTCAAAGCGCACCTCCATCTCTGTGTCGTATTGAGCCCCACGCACCTCTCCATCTCAGTGCCCTTGTCGTTCTGCCTCACGGGGCGGGGTAATGGAATGAGGGAGAACAGGGCGGGGTGATGGAAAGATAGAGAATGGGGCGGGGTGATGGAAACCGGGAGAATGGGGCTGGATGAAGGTGATGGAAAGCGGGAGAATGGGGCGGGGTGATGGAAAGCGGGAGAATGGGGCGGGGTGATGGAAAGCAGGAGAATGGGGCGGGGTGATGGAAAGCGGGAGAATGGGGCGGGGTGATGGAAATCGGGAGAATGGGGCGGGGTGATGGAAAGCGGGAGAATGGGGCGGGGTGATGGAAAGCGGGAGAATGGGGCGGGGTGATGGAAGGAGGGAGAATGGGGTGGGGTGATGGAAAGCGGGAGAATGGGGCGGGGTGATGGAAAGCGGGAGAATGGGGCGGGGTGATGGAAAGCGGGAGAATGGGGCGGGTTGATGGAAAGCGGGAGAATGGGGCGGGGTGATGGAAAGCGGGAGAATGGGGCGGGGTGATGGAAAGTGGGAGAATGGGGCGGGGTGATGGAAAGCAAAAGAATGGGGCGGGGTGATAGAAAGCGGAAGAATGGGGTGGGATGATGAAAAGTGGGAGAATGAGGCGGGGTGATGGAAAGCAGGAGAATGGGGCGGGGTGATGGAAAGCGGGAGAATGGGGCGGGGTGATGGAAAGCGGGAGAATGGGGCGGGGTGATGGAAAGCGGGAGAATGGGGCGGGGTGATGGAAAGCGGGAGAATGGGGCGGGATGATGGAAGGAGGGAGAATGGGGCGGGGTGATGGAAAGCGGGAGAATAGGGCGGGGTGATGGAAAGCGGGAGAATGGGGCGGGGTGATGGAAAGCGGGAGAATGGGGCGGGGTGATTGAAAGTGGGAGAATGGGGCGGGATGATGGAAAGCGGGAGAATGGGGCGGGGTGATGGAAAGCGGGAGAATGGGGCGGGGAGATGGAAAGCAGGAGAACGGGGCGGGGTGATGGAAAGAGGGAGAATGGGGCGGGGTGATGGAAAGAGGGAGAACGGGGCAGGGTAATGGGAAGAGGAAGAATGGGGCTGGGTGATGGAAAGAGGGAAAATGGGGTGGGGTGATGGATAGAGGGAGAATGGGGCGGGGTGATGGAAAGAGGGAGAATGGGGGTGGGTGATGGAAAGATGGAGAAGGCGGGGCGATGGAAAGCGGGAGAATGGGGCGGGGCGATGGAAAGCGGGAGAATGGGGCGGGGTGATGGAAAGCGGGAGAATGGGGCTGGGTGATGGAAAGAGGGAGAATGGGGCGGGGTGATGGAAAATGGGAGAATGGGGCTGGGTGATGGAAATCGGGATAATGGGGCAGGGTGTTTGAAAGAAGGAGAATGGGGTTGGGTGATGGAAAGAGGGAGAATGGGGCGGGGTGATGGAAAGCGGGAGAATGGGGCGGGGTGATGGAAAGCGGGAGAACGGGGCGGGGTAATGGAAAGAGGGAGAACGGGGCGGGGTGATGGAAAGATAGAGAATGGGGCGGGGTGATGGAAAGCGGGAGAATGGGGCGGGGCAATGGAAAGAGGGAGAATGGGACGGGGCGATGGAAAGCGAGAGAACGGGGTGGGGTGATGGAAAGAGGGAGAATGGGGCGGGGTGATGGAAAGAGGGAGAATGGGGCGGGGTGATGGAAAGAGGGCGAATGGGGCGGGGTGATGGAAAGCGGGAGAATGGGGCGAGGTGATGGAAAGAGGGAGAATGGGGCGGGGTGATGCAAAGAGGGAGGATGGGGCGGGGTGATGGAAAGAGGGAGAATGGGGCGGGGTGATGGAAAGAGGGAGAATGGGGCTGGGTGATGGAAAGAGGGAGAATGGGGCGGGGTGATGGAAAGAGGGAGAATGGGGCGGGGTGATGGAAAGCAGGAGAATGGGGCGGGGTGATGGAAAGAGGGAGGGAGAATGGGGGGGGGGGTGATGGAAAGGGGGAGAATGGGGCGGGTTGATGGAAAGCGGGAGAATGGGGCGAGGTGATGGAAAGAGGGAGAATGGGGCGGGGTGATGGAAAGAGGGAGAATGGGGCGGGGTGATGGAAAGAGGGAGAATGGGGCGGGGTGATGGAAAGAGGGAGAATGGGGCAGGGTGATGGAAAGAGGGAGAATGGGGCTGGGTGATGGAAAGAGGGAGAATGGGGCAGGGTGATGGAAAGAGGGAGAACGGGGCAGGGTAATGGAAAGCGGGAGAATGGGGCGGGATGATGGAAAGCAGGAGATTGGGGCGGGGCGATGGAAAGCGGGAGAATGGGGCAGGGTGATGGAAATCGGGAGAATGGGGTGGGGTGATTGAAAGTGGGAGAATGGGGAGGGGTGATGGAAAGCGGGAGAATGGGGCAGGGTGATGGAAAGCGGGAGAATGGGGCGGGGAGATGGAAAGCAGGAGAATGGGGCGGGGTGATGGAAAGAGGGAGAATGGGGCGGGAGCTTGCCTGGTCCAGGAGCTTGCCTTGTCCAAGAGCTTGCCTGGTCCAGGAGCTTGCCTTGTCCAAGAGCTTGCCTCGTCCAGGAGCTTGCCTGGTCCAGGAGCTTGCCTTGTCCAAGAGCTTGCCTGGTCCATGAGCTTGCCTGGTCCAGGAGCTTGCCTGGTCCAAGAGTGTGCCTGGTCCAAGAGCCTGCCTGGTCCAGGAGCTTGCCTGGTCCAAGAGCTCGCATGGTCAAGGAGCTCGCCTGGTCCAGGAGCTTGCCTGGTCGAGGAGCCAGCCTGGTCCAGGAGCTTGCCTGGTCTAGGAGCTTGCCTGGTCCAGGAGCTTGCCTGGTCCAGAAGCTTGCCTGGTCCAAGAGCTTGCCTGGTCCAGGAGCTTGCCTGGTCCAGGATCGTGCCTGGTCCAGGAGCGTGCCTGGTCTAGGAGCGTGCCTGGTCCACGAGCTTGCCTTGTCCACGAGCTTGCCAGGTCCAGGAGCTTGCCTGGTCCAGGAGCTTGCCTCGTCCAGGAGCTTGCCTGGTCCAGGACCTTTCCTGGTCCAGGAGCTTGCCTGGTCCAGGAGCTTGGCTGGTCTAGGAGCTTGCTTGGTCCAAGAGCGTGCCTGGTCCAAGAGCCTGCCAGGTCCAGGAGCTTGCCTGGTCTAGGAGCTCGCCTGGTCCAGGAGCTTGCCTGGTCCAGGAGCTTGCCTGGTAGAGGAGCTTGCCTGGTCTAGGAGCTCGCGTGGTCCAGGAGCTTGCCTGGTCCAGGAGCTTGCCTGGTCGAGGAGCTTGCCTGGTCTAGGAGCTTGCCTGGTCCAGGAGCTTGCCTGGTCTAGGAGCTTGCCTGGTTCAGGAGCTTGTCTGGTCCAGGAGCTCGCCTGGTCCAGAAGCTTGCCTAGTGGAGAAGCTTGCCTGGTTCAGGAGCTTGCCTGGTCCAGGAGCTTGCCTGGTCCAGGAGCTTGCCTGGTCCAGAAGCTTGCCTGGTCCAGGAGCTTGCCTGGTCCAGGAGCTTGCCTGGTCCAAGAGCCTGCCTGGTCCAGGAGCTTGCCTGGTCCAGGAGCTCGCATGGTCCAGGAGCTCGCCTGGTCCAGGAGCTTGCCTGGTCCAGGAGCTTGCCTGGTCGAGGAGCTTGCCTTGTCCAGGAGCTTGCCTGGTCCAGGAGCTTGCCTGGTCCAGAAGCTTGCCTGGTCCAGGAGCTTGCCTGGTCCAAGAGTGTGCCTGGTCCAAGAGCCTGCCTGGTCCAGGAGATTGCCTGGTCCAGGAGCTCGCATGGTCCAGGAGCTTGCCTAGTCCAGGAGCTTGCCTCGTCCAGGAGCTTGCCTCGTCCAGGAGCTTGCCTGGTCCAGGAGCTTGCCTTGTCCAGGAGCTTGCCTCGTCCAGGAGCTTGTCTGGTCCAGGAGCTTGCCTGGTCCAAGAGTGTGCCTGGTCCAAGAGCCTGCCTGGTCCAGGAGATTGCCTGGTCCAGGAGCTCGCATGGTCCAGGAGCTCGCCTAGTCCACGAGTTTGCCTGGTCCTGGAGCTTGCCTGGTCGAGGAGCCAGCCTGGTCCAGGAGCTTGCCTGGTCCAGGAGCTTGCCTGCTCCAGGAGCTTGCCTGGTCCAGAAGCTTGCCTGGTCCATGAGCTTGCCTGGTCCAGGAGCGTGCCTGGTCTAGGAGCGTGCCTGGTCCATGAGCTTGCCTGGTCCACGAGCTTGCCTAGTCCAGGAGCTTGCCTGGTCCAAGAGCGTGCCTTATCCAAGAGCTTGCCTGGTCCAGGAGCTTGCCTGGTCCAGGAGCTCGCATGGTCCAGGAGCTCGCATGGTCTAGGAGCTTGCCTGGTCCAGGAGCTTGCCTGGTCGAGGAGCTTACCTGGTCCAGGAGCTTGCCTGGTCCTGGAGCTTGCTTGGACCAGGAGCTTGCCTGGTCCAGAAGCTTGCCTGGTCCTGGAGCATGCCTGGTCTAGGATTGTGCCTTGTCCAGGAGCGTGCCTGGTCCAGGAGCGTGCCTGGTCCACGAGCTTGCCTGGTCCAGGAGCTTGCCTCGTCCAGGAGCTTGCCTCGTCCAGGATCTTGCCTGGTCCAGGAGCTCGCATGGTCCAGGATCTCGCCTGGTCCAGGAGTTTGCCTGGTCCAGGAGCTTGCTTGGTCCAGGAGCTTGACTGGTCCAGGAGCTTGCCTGGTCCAAGAGCGTGCCTGGTCCAAGAGCCTGCCTGGTCCAGGAGCTTGCCTGGTCCAGGAGCTCGCATGGTCCAGGATCTCGCCTGGTCCAGGAGCTTGCCTGGTCGAGGAGCTTGCCTGGTCGAGGAGCTTGCCTGGTCTAGGAGCTTGCCTGGTCCAGGAGCTTGCCTGGTCCAAGAGCTTGTCTGGTCCAGGAGCTTGCTTGGTCCAGGAGCTCGCCTGGTCCAGGAGCTTGCCTGGTCCAGAAGCTTGCCTTGTCCAAGAGCTTGCCTGGTCCAGGAGCTTGCCTGGTCCAGGAGCTTGCCTGGTCCAGAAGCTTGCCTGGTCCAGGAGCTTGCCTGGTCGAGGAGCTTGCCTGGTCCAGGAGCTTGCCTGGTCCAAGAGCGTGCCTGGTCCAAGAGCCTTCCTGGTCCAGGAGCTTGCCTGGTCCAGGAGCTTGCCTGGTCCAGGAGCTTGCGTGGTCCAGGAGCTCGCCTAGTCCACGAGCTTGCCTGGTCGAGAAGCTTGCCTGGTCCAGGAGCTTGCCTGTTCTAGGAGCTTGCCTGGTCAAGGAGCTTGCCTGGTCCAAGAGCGTGCCTGGTCCAAGAGCCTGCCTGGTCCAAGAGCTTGCCTGGTCCAGGAGCTCACATGGTCCAGGAGCTCGCCTGGTCCAGGAGCTTGCCTGGTCGAGGAGCTTGCCTGGTCGAGGAGCTTGCCTGGTCCAGGAGCTTGCCTGGTCCAAGAGCTTGCGTGGTCCAAAAGCTTGCCTTGTCCAGGAGCTTGCCTGGTCCAGGAGCTTGCCTGGTCCTAGATTATGCCTGATCCAGGAGCGTGCCTGGTCCACGAGCTTGCCTGGTCCAGGAGCCTGCCTGGTCTAGGAGCTTGCCTGGTCCAAGAGCGTGCATGGTCTAAGAGCCTGCCTGGTCCAGGAGCTTGCCTGGTCCAGGAGCTCGCATGGTCCAGGAGCTCGCCTGGTCCAGGAGCTTGCCTGGTCCAGGAGCTTGCCTGGTCCAGAAGCTTGCCTGGTCCAGGAGGTTGCCTGGTCCAGGGGCTTGCCTGGTCCCAGATTGTGCCTGGTCCAGGAGCGTGCCTGGTCCAGGAGCGTGCCTGGTCCACGAGCTTGCCTGGTCCAGGAGCTTTCCTAGTCCAAGAGCTTGCCTGGTCCAAGAGCGTGCCTGGTCCAAGAGCCTGCCTGGTCCAGGAGCTTGCCTGGTCCAGGAGCTCGCATGGTCCAGGAGCTCGCCTGGTCCAGGAGCTTGCCTGGTCCAGGAGCTTGCCTGGTCGAGGAGCTTGCCTGGTCTAGGAGCTTGCCTGGTCCAGGAGCTTGCCTGGACCAGGAGCTTGCCTGGTCCAGAAGCTTACCTGGTCCAGGAGCTTGCCTGGTCCAGGAGCTTACCTGGTCCAGGATTGAGCCTTGTCCAAGAGCGTGCCTGGTCCAGGAGCGTTCCTGGTCCACGAGCTTGCCTGGTCGAGGAGCTTGCCTGGTCCAGGAGCTTGCCTCGTCCAGGAGCTTGCCTCGTCCAAGAGCTTGCCTGGTCCAGGAGCTTGCTTGGTCCAGGAGCTTGCCTTGTCCAGGATCTTGCCTGGTCCATGAGCTTGCCTGGTCCAGGAGCTTGCCTGGTCCAAGAGTGTGCCTGGTCCAAGAGCCTGCCTGGTCCAGGAGCTTGCATGGTCCAGGAGCTCGCATGGTCCAGGAGCTCGCCTGGTCTAGGAGCTTGCCTCGTCCAGGAGCTTGCCTGGTCGAGGAGCCAGCCTGGTCCAGGAGCTTGCCTGGTCCAGGAGCTTGCGTGGTCCGGGAGCTTGCCTGGTCCAAAAGCTTGCCTGGTCCAGGAGCTTGCCTGGTCCAGGATTGTGCCTGGTCCAGGAGCGTGCCTGGTCTAGGAGCATGCCTGGTCCACAAGCTTGCCTGGTCCACGAGGTTTCCTGGTCCAGGAGCTTGCCTGGTCGAGGAGCTTGCCTGGTCCAGGAGCTTGCCTCGTCCAGGAGCTTGCCTCGTCCAGGAGCTTGCCTGGTCCAGGAGCTTGCCTGGTCCAAGAGCTTGCCTTGTCCAGGAGCTTGCCTGGTCCATGAGCTTGCCTGGTCCATGAGCTTGCCTGGTCCAGGAGCTCGCATGGTCCAGAAGCTCGCCTGGTCCAGGAGCTCGCCTGGTCCAGGAGCTTGCCTGGTCGAGGAGCTTGCCTGGTCCAGGAGCTTGCCTGGTCCAGGAGCTTGCCTGGTCATGAAGCTTGCCTAGTCTAGGAGCTTACCTGGTCCAGGAGCTTGCCTGGTCCCAGATTGTGCCTGGTCCAGGAGCGTGCCTGGTCCAGGAGCGTTCCTGGTCCAGGAGCTTGCCTAGTCCAGGAGCTTGCCTGGTCCAGGAGCTTGCCTGGTCCAAGAGCGTGCCTGGTCCAAGAGCCTGCCTGGTCCAGGAGCTTGCCTGGTCCAGGAGCTCGCATGGTCCAGGAGCTCGCCTGGTCCAGGAGCTTGCCTGGTCCAAGAGCATGCCTGGTCCAGGAGCTTGCCTGGTCCAGGAGCTCGCATGGTCCAGGAGCTCGCCTGGTCGAGGAGCTTGCCTGGTTCAGGAGCTTGCCTGGTCCAGGAGCTTGCCTGGACCAGGAGCTTGCCTGGTCCAGAAGCTTGCCTGGTCCAGGAGCTTGCCTGGACCAGGAGCTTGCCTGGTCCAGGATTGTGCCTTGCCCAGGAGCGTGCCTGGACCAGGAGCGTGCCTGGACCAGGAGCGTGCCTGGTCCACAAGCTTGCCTGGTCTAGGAGCTTGCCTGGTCCAGGAGCTTGCCTCGTCCAGGAGCTTGCCTGGTCCAGGAGCTTGCCTTGTCCAGGAGCTTGCCTGGTCCAGGAGCTTGCCTGGTCCAAGAGTGTGCCTGGTCCAAGAGCCTGCCTGGTCCAGGAGTTTGCCTGGTCCAGGAGCTCGCATGGTCCAAGCGCTCGCCTGGTCCAGGAGCTTGCCTGGTCGAGGAGCTTGCCTGGTCGAGGAGCCAGCCTTGTCCAGGAGCTTGCCTGGTCCAGGAGCTTGCCTAGAATAGGA